CGTGTACAGCCCAACCAAAAAATGCCCAAACTATGTATTAGAATATTATAAATTATGCTTTAAAAATTCGTTATGACTGAGAAAAACAATCCAAACAATTTTATAATCCTAACTCCTCTGTAAATATCATTTTCTCTAAAAGTGTTGAGTTTCGTTTCTAATGCTTTACTTCTTTACTGCATAATGATTAAAGGATGTCGTTATGTTCCTTGACTGTAGAGTAAGGCATTATGGCATGTGTGCGAACATGATGCATAAAATAAGTGAGATTCATTTTAATTTATTTTATATAATAATAATAATACTAATATATAATATCGTAAGGATTTTCATTAAATCTTATCTTTATCTTTTCTTATATCTTAAGTCTTATTTATTAAATAGGTTTTTCATAGTTTTATTTATAAATCCACCACCACATGTTAATAAAAAAAAGTCCATAGCTTCAAATATTGGACACAGCTTTTTATTACATATGTTAAACTTTTGGCACAGATCTTACGGTTCACACAATTTTAACTATCTCATCAACGATGAGTTCTTTCGAACGACAGTCTACGAATCTACCGACTCATCCTGTATAATAAAACGTTCATATGAAGTAAGAAATAGTCGTAATAGTGTAAGTTTTGGCTGCCCTCTTTTCCGCTTCTATTCACAGTGTCTATATTTTTCATACATTAAACTTTCTGACGAACGCATAAAATCTGCAGTCTAGACGTTACAGACGTTGCGTTTCTTATAAACATTCGCAGTCTCTACTTATTACCATTTCGGGCGTGAACGTAGAACGAGCAATGGTACACGACTTGCATTCTGAATTAGGCATTCCAGCCGTAACGACGATTTCTTCGGCCGATATTCCTGGACTATCCCGACCGATCATTTCGCGGGACGCTAATTTCGTGGCCGGTGATTCAAACGATGCCGCGCAGTTGCACGGATCGACCGGACGGAAATCGTTTTTTAGAGAGTCCCGGTCCGCGAGAGGCAGCGAACCCCGGGGACTGGCTAATGCCCGTAATTAATTCAACAGTGGAATCTGCGTGAAATTTGAACGCACCTGCTCTATTGATTTTCCGATTCGCATGTTTCCCTCGCGCAGAGGGCACCAGCTGACCACTCAGCTGGACACTCAATTGAAATCAAACGCAACAGATAAAATATGTACGAACAATTTTTTTAAATTTTCTGTTTTTCATTTCAAAGGTCTGACCTTACGACGTCTCTTTTAGTCAGTTTTTATAATTCCTAAAAAAACGTACATTTCCATTGACGTGATAATAAAGATATCTCGCAATGAACGGATCCGACTCGCAACGCACAGGATACCCTTAATTATCCTTTAATTAACTTTCTACACGATGTAAGAATTGGCCAACCTTTCCAACGTGAAGTTGAAAAAAAAAAAATTTGTACATTTGCCCAAAAGCAGTCAAAATGACTTCCTTGGGCAATTTAGTGTTAACTTTATAAACTATAATAATAACACGTCGAAGCAAAACTTTAGAAATTCTCAATACGCCTATTCGTTTAGTTTCAGAATTTTACTAGAACAATTTCAAACTTTGATTCTGACAGAATAGACTCCGTTGAACTTTGCTTTTAATTATGATGAAAATACTTTTGTCACGAGTGTTCCCTTCGAATGAGAGATTGTTTTCAAACTGGAGAAAAATCACTGCGAGAAAGCCTCTGCGCCGGTGGCTGCGGCGGGCAAACCGTACTTTTGTGTTACCCCGGCTGAAGTTTCTAATGGAACTCTCTGCCGTTAATGCGGTGTATTTCCTTTCCAAATAAAAGTATTCGACACATTTCTGCTCCCGTTGTTACCGCGCGAAATTAGATAAACGAAATAACGTTCAAAGATTATTATTATCATTATTATTTAAGAAGAGGCGAAGGGGTCGCTGAGCCGAAACGAAGCTCCAATTTGAAAATTCTGTTCAGGCCACGGATTCAAATGTATTTAACAGGATCCTTGAGTAATCCTTAAATCCACGAGTACTCGAGGGTGCACGACTTGAAAATAACTTTGCACTCTATCACGGTCTTCTGCACTCTCGGGATCCGCTTCTTAACAATACAATAAACTGAAGTAGTTTCTTTATACTCGGTGGAAAAGAAACTCTTCCCCAGGGGGGGGGGGCNATATAGGTATGTACTAAGTTTCAGTCTTTCTAGTGTTAATGTCAATTTACCAAATGAAATCTAGATAGAACTCGAACCCGGTGAACAAATTGCATTTCGAACAGTAAATTCTTTCCTCTTTTATATCCCGTTCTCGTTCCCGGCAGCGTGGATGGTGCGAGGCCAAAGTTCGCTAACTAGCTGGGATGAAACGAGAGGCGAGTTTGTTAAACAGGCGGACGTGAATTAAATTTATGATCCAGATTGCTCCCAGTCACGTTTTTTTTATATTCAAATACTTCAAACTCTATTAATCGAGCAGACGTAAAAAATTACTTTGCCTTTCTAAGAGTGATGAAATGTATATAACAGCTGTGAGAACGACGAGGCGGAACGAAGGTTGCACGACTCGTTTGACAAGCTGGGGTTACGTCTGAATTTTAATTGGCCATACGAGGACGTAAAAATCTACAAAGTATTTGCTAACGTATAATTTCACTGTAGACCCACGCGGAAATGCCAGTAATTTTTTTTTCATTGAAAAGCTCGCGCGGAACTGCCAAACGATACGCGCCGCCCGGCCAGTTCCCAAGAACACCTCCCCGCGCGTAATTCGCGGTGCTTTCACTTTTCCGTAATGGGCCGGTTCATATTAGTTGAACGCTGGATCCATTTTCCGTCGCACGCTGCCCGGTGAAAGTATCTAATTTGCAAGAAAAAATTCCCTTGAACCCGGATTCGTGGGAGACCACGTGATTCTATGAAACTTGCTGATTTGTCTTCTTAACCGACGCTCTCGTTCTCAGTCATTGTTCACGCGAGCATAATCAAAACGATCCGCAATAACGCATACCATTAATGTAAGTACAGAGTCAATTAGTGATTCAAAAGAATCATTTTCGTTCGAATTACATAATTTTCGGATCTTAAATATAATACAATGAATATGCAGGATAAAAGTGATTTTAAGTGATAAAATTAAGAGGCCTTATCAGGAACTTAAAAAAAATCGAATTTTTCGACCTGTCGACAGTGACTTTATTATCATTTCTAATCATTAAATTGTTTCAAGGCAATTCTT